ATAAACTTTGAGAAAAAAAATAAAAATAAAAATAAAAAGATGTTAACCATTACTTTCTGAGCTCTTTAACGTACATGTCCATAATGCCACCTAGCGGCCAGACCAAATTTACACAAATCTCTGAGCCAGTTATCCATTTCATTCTCTAAGTCAGACATGAGGTGGCGATAGAGTTCTTCATAAAAGGGCTCTGGGCCCCTTTATAATGCTGAAAACTGGAAACTGCCATTAGAAAGCATCTCTTTAAAAAGAAAGAAACCTGGAAAAATCATAACCTTGTCCTAAAGTAGTGAAAAATTACTACCTTTTTTTTTTTTAAAAATTGCTTTGCAAATTAGGTCGATTAAACCTTTGATCATCGTTTTGTTTTCAAACAGTAAAAAGCAAAATAGTAAAGTAACTCCATGTCTCCTTCATCCACATGCTGAGCCTAGCCCTCACGGATTTCCCCTACATCTGCTAAAGTCCCCTGAGTGGTACAGTGAAGTCTCCGGGCCTTGGCTACATAAATATAATCAGTTTGCAACTTTGCTAAGACTTGGAGGCAGTAAAAGAAAATTAGAAATATATATAAAGCTCATTTACATACTGTCCTCAAATGACAAAACAAGAAAAAAAGATTATATTATTATTACTTATGTTATTATTATCCTATCTCCTTTTTACCATACTTCTGGTGCTAACAATTCTTACTCTAATTTATTCCCTTGGTGAGCAGAAAGTAGCCTGTTCTACCCTGAGATACAAATCCGCGATGTATCATTTAGGAGGTGTCCCAGGTTCTGAACCATCAGTGCTCAGATGGGAATGCAACTGTCATAGTTTGTGAGAGTGTGTGTGTGTGTGTGAGAGAGAGAGAGAGAGAGAGAGAGAGAGAGAGAGAGAGAGAGAGAAATCGCGAGAGCGCGCACCCGTGGAGGGGGAGGAGGGATGGGAGTGGGCAGGGCTTGTCTCTTAAAGGGACCCAGGTGACAGGCCAGGCCAGCAGATCCACCTTTAGACAGACCTTTCCTTTGGTAGCCAGAGAAGCTATGCAGGGCTAGTGTGTTTAGGTGAGACTTAGCTACATAGAAAGAACCTATGGGGACCTCAGTGTTTAGAACTGTGCTGGCTCCCTCCAGAAATATGTAAAAGCACTTACTTATATATTCCTTTGGGTTTTGATTACTAACCAAGAGAAAATTAAACCTACGGCAGTTGGAAAACCAGCTATCCATATGCAGGAGGAAAAAAACAGATTCTATTTTCTACATATATTTTTAAAAGAAAACAAAACCACTCTGTCTTAGTTAGGGTTATTACTGGGATGAAACTCCACGACCAAAAGTAAGTTGGGGAGGAAGGGTTTATTTCACCCATTGTTCCAAATCACAGCTCATCATGGAAAGCAGCGAGGGCCAGGACTCAAACAGGACAGCAGCCTGGAGGTAGGAGCTAATGAAGAGGCCGTGGAGGGGGCTGCTTACTGCCTCGCTCCTCATGGCTTGTCCAGCCTGCTTTCTGATAGAACCCAGGACCACTAGGCCAGGGGTGGTACCACCCATAATGGGCTGGGCCCTCCGTCACTGATCACTAATTATATAAAGGCCTCATAGGCCTGCCTACAGCCCAATATCATGGAGCATCTCCTTAACTGAGATTCCCTCCTCTCCAATGACTCTCCCTGCATCAAGTCAACATAAAGCTATCCAGCACAGCTGACCCTTGTCAGCTTGACGCACAACCCGCCGTGGTTAAGCCACACCCCTTCCTTTCTCGTTCATCCCCAAGGCCTCACACTAAAGAGATAAATAATTTTTAAAAGTCTTTACAAATCCAAACACGTTAAAAGTTCAATCTCTTTAAAATAACCAATCTCTTTTAAAATCCAGTCTTTTGAAATTTAAACTCCCTCAACTATGTCCTCCTGTGAAGTAAAAAAATAAATATTTTCTTACTTCAAGAGGGAAGGACCAGGGCACAGTCACAATCGAATTAAAGCAAAACCAAACTTGAGAAGTGTAAATACTCAATATTCCATGTCTGGAATTCACTTATGGTCTGAATCCCTGCAAGGGATTTTGGTCGTTTCTCCAGCTCTACCCTCTGCAGGATGCATAGCTTACCTTCTAGACGTGGGCTGGTTCCACTCTACTGCCATTTCTCCAGAATGCTCGGGTCTTCTGCTGCAACCTCAGTTTCTCTGCAGGATCCCTTCAAAACCAGCCTCCTCTGGGTGACTCTTACACTACCAAGTTCAGCTGCCAGTGAGAAGTACCGTATAGCCCTGGCCACCTCTGGAGCACAGCTTCTGTGTGCTGACTCTCAGGAAACAATTTCCCAAAAGGTTTGTCTCAGTGATGCTGGCCTCTTCTTAATCCCCGATAATCTCTCAGCTCCAGCTGCCCCCACATGGAGTAGCCCAGCAAAGCCAAGGTTTCACGCTAGTAGTTCTGTATCTAGTTAATCACGGCTGGTTCTTCGGCCCTGGCTAACCAGAACTACAGAATCTTAACTCACAATAACAAATGCTCCCCAAAGAATCTGAATCTTCACAAGCCAGGCCTCCACTCTAGGCCCTGCCCTCAACATCTTTATCTTCCAAGCTCCTACAGAACAACTCACCATGCATTGAACACTCAGTAACTCTTCTCAGACCAAGTTCCAAAATCCTTTTACAGTCCTCCCCAAAGCCAGATGATCAGGTCTGTTGCAGCAATACCCCCCCCCCCCCGCAATCCTAGTACCAACTTGTCTTAGGGTAACTATTGCTGGGATGAAACGTCACGACGAAAAGCAAGTTGAGAAGGAAAGGGTTAATTTCACTCACAGTTCTACATAACAGTTCATCACCAAAAGCAGGTAGGGCAGGAACCTAGAGATAGGCGCTGACACAGAGACCATGGAGGGGACTGCTGCTTAGTGGTTTGCTGATGTGGGATGCCCCGTGCGTGGATGCTGAGAAGATGCGTTACTAGAGCAAGCAGCGCGGCACACTTGGTGCTCTTCACCCCTGGGCAGAAGGGCCGGACAAAAGGAGCTGGGTCAGCGGCAGCGCCTGATTTGTTCCGTATCTGTTTGTCTCTTCGTTGCACCGCTTCATAAACTGGTTATTACACTTTGTGGGTTCTCATTCCAATTTGCTCCCCATGGCTTGATCGACCTGCTTTCTTATAGAACCCAGGACCACCAAACCAGAGGCGGCACAATCCGCAATGGGCTGGCTCCTCTCCCGTCAATCACTATTTAAGAAAAGGCCTAACAGACCTGCCTACGACTCGATCTTACCAAGGTATTTTCTCAGTTGAGGTTCCCCCCTCTCAGATGACTTTAGCTCATGTCAAGCTGGCATAAAACTACCCAGAACACCCTCTAAACTGATAAAGATTTACATATAAGCTTAAAACTGTGAAGCCACTGGAAGACAACAGAAGAAAACACCAAGACATCAGTAAAGACAGCAGTGTATATGGACCTCATGGTCACAGAAACCAAACGCAAAGCAGACGATGGGTTTATCAGGTTAAGAAGTGTAGAGGGGAAAACACCATGGCGTGAAGAGACAGCCGACCGAAGGGTGACAGCACCATCCGTAAGAAAGCGCCCGGAAAGAGGTCAGCTTCCAGAATTTATAAAGAATGCCAGGAACCGCAGGACTGAACAAGTCAGGGATTTCAGAATGTGCAGAAGGATAGACAGGTCAGCAGCTCAGAGCTCCTGTGGCCCTTAGAGCTCCTGGAGGCCCAGAGTTCAGTTCCCAGAGCCCATGCTGGGAGGCTCAAAGCCTCCTGTAACTCCAGCTCCAGGGAACCCGATGCCTTCTAGGTTTTTTGTGTACCTTTGCAAAACATGTACATGCACCATGCACACACACACACCATTTTTAAAGTAAATCTTTTCTAAAAACAGTCATAGGGCCTGAATAGACATTTTCCAAACAAAGACATCCACTGGATGAGCAAAATTTAAAAAAAAAAAAAAAAAAAAAAAAAAAAGGACACCCGGCACCAGGCAGTAGTGTGTACTCCTTTAATCCCAGCACTTGGGAGGCAGAAGCAGACACATCTCTGAGTTTGAGACCAGCCTGATATATACAGTTCATTCCAGGCAAGCCAGAGTTACACAAGTAAACACTATCTCAAAAAACCAAACAAACTAGCCCCTTGAGCCAGTGGTTCAGAACGGCTTCCATGAAAACATCCAATAATAAGTGTTGGCAGATGTGTGGGGGAAAGGAAGTCTCTAGTAGATAACTGTTGCTGGTTGTTTTATTTTACTCTTGTAACTTTTTGAGGGGCCCACCACCCAGCTCCCAGATTCATCACAGGTGAAGTCTTAGTCTTTCTTATAAATGTCAGGCCCTGGTTTGGCTTGCTTCTAGCCAGCTTTTCTTAAATTGTTCCATCTGTCTTTTGCCTCTGGACTTTTTCCTTTTCTTACTTCTGCAATCTTACTTTCACTCCTACTCCACGGCTGGCTGGGTTTTCTCACTCCTTGATCTCTCCGGCTCGTCTTATTCCTTCTTCTGTGCCCAGATTTCTTCTTCTGCTTATCCTTTCTGCCTGCCAGCCCCGCTTCTCCTTTCTCCCGCTGAGCTATTGAGGGCTGAGCGCTTTAGTAGTCCATCAGGTGTTTCCGACAGGCAAAGTAACACCGCTTCACAGAGTTAAACAAACTTAACGTAGAAGAATGCAACACATCTTTGTATCATTAAGCAAGTGTTCCCCAGTGTAAACAAATGTAACACATCTTAAAGTAATATTTCACAATAGATAGCCTTTCATTGGAATGCAAATCAATACAGCCATTACAGAAAACAGTACAGCGGGCCTACAAGTAATGAAATTAGAACCACAGCCTTGAGATGAAGTCAGTAGCTCACAGGGGTGCCTGCATAGTCATGCTCAATACAGAAACAGCTTCACTGGTCTCCAAATATTTATTACCAGGGACTGTGTCTCAGTAGAGTTGAGGAGTGCACCCAAATGGTCACAATTTCCACTAAAGCAGGGCAGCCTGGACTCTTCCTCTGGGAAGCTCAGCGGAAGTCCCCATCCCCGGTAGAGGGCGAGACCAGAGAACCTTGACTCAGCAAATCACAGAGCACTGGAAGGCAGTGAAGATTGACAGCAGCAGCCGTGCCGAGCGGAGCGCTGGGAGTGTCACGGAATGCTGTGTGAGTAAGACCCAGGGTTCTAAGGAAAAGCAAAGGGGAGAATCCTGAACATTGAGCAATGCTGGGCTGCTCGTCCACACAAAGGGAGGGAGGAACAAGCTGAGGGAAAAGAAAGAAAGCAGCATTTTAAGTTACTAAAGGAAGCAAAATTCTCCTAGTCCCTTCAGCTCACGGTTGCTGATGGGCCGGTTCCAGAGTCTGGCTTAAAAGTGGGTCCAGTGCCCAATGGACCAAGATCATCTTAGGATGTCCAAGCATTAGCTGGTGTTGTGATTTATTTAGACAAGAAAA